TGTGTCCGGCAGAGAGTTTGCCCACAATTGAGTCCAATAGTGTACAACTGATGACAGCTTTCCAAGCCGTGCATTGGTTTGATTTTGACTCGTTTACGACTGAATGCACTCGAGTCCTGTGCCCTAATGGTGTGCTCGCAATGATAGGCTATAACCTCCCCGAACCCATCGACCCCTGGAATCCGGACGACCGAAGTCTAGTGGAGTTGATGTACGACTTGTACACCGACGAGAGGTTAGCGCCGTTCAAGAACCCAAAGATAGTGCCCCTCGAGAGACACTACCGAGACATCAAACTTCCCGATAATTACGAGTTGAGTCTTAAGGATAATAACTGGACGTCGAAACGAGTGGCGGCGCAGGACATTGTGGGTTATGTGCAGTCGTGGTCACTATATCAAGGCCTGCAAAACGCTGATAGAGAGACGGCTGAACTCCTCACTCAGGAAGTGATACACCGATTGAAGTCTATACTCAAAATCAGTGATCTATCGGCGAAGGAAATTGATTTTAGACACAATTATTTTATAGCAATCGCCAGAAAAGTTAAATAATAATTGTTATCACTATTGTTTTAATGCAATCCCATTATGCTATTCAATAATAGATGTTGTTTTTCAAAATGAGATTTTTTAGATAATTTTTTATGCGATTTTCAATGAATCATTTTAAATCAATTAAAATAACATGTAATCAATTTGTGGACTCAATTCTCTATCGACTGATAATTGCATGATTTTTAATTTAAACAGACATACATTTTTAGATACAAGTATCTAAAATAAACACACGCTGTAAGACATCATAAAAAACTTGTAATTTTGTAAAATTTAAATTTAAAATAATATATTTTATAAACATTTTATCACATGATGTCTGCAAAAATTGTGAATTGAATATTGCATTTTAAATATAAATAACATAAGGTTTTAAGGCAATATATAACTATTTCATATCATTAAAAGCTAATTAAATTTATCAATAAAATATCTAATTACATTTAATTATTTCGTAACTCATTTTAATTTATACTATTTTTTCAATAAAACATTTATTACATTAATTTCATGAATATTCTGTCCATTTATATCGCTCGACATAAATTTATACTTAACTATATTATTAATTACAAATATAGCTATTAAATTATACGAATTATAATTTAACTATAACAATTTAGTAATATAATTATAAATGATTACAATATGTGAAATACATTAATCTATGTTAATTATGCACAAATTGTGTACACTTATCAACACTGATTTTATTAGTTTCTTATCTCATGTAATGTACCCAACGATAGGAATAGTGGAGGCATTACATGATATGTGCCCACAATCTCTCCCCACACCTCCGGATATGCCTACAAATACACGTCAAGTATTTTATATAAAAAATAAATTCATAAGAGAGGGTAAAACACTATTAAATGTGAATGCTCTACATCATATGCATCTTGATAAATGTAAAATAAACTAGATCCTTTCACACAATATAAAACAATGCTAACTTACAATTAAATGCACACAATTATATTGCATCACATATTCTTGAAGTGACATCATTTGTGGACAGAGTTTACGTTAGGCCTGTATTGAGTGCATTGAGTAATGCATTCATTCATAAATAAAAGTGTGAATTGAATGCGAGTTTTGTTTTGATTGCGAGAAAAACAAGTTTTGAAAACTTTTTTTGTAATTAGTTTTTGGACTTTTTGTTGTGTTTTTTGATCACAAAAACAGATCCAAAACTCTTGTTGTGGTGAAGAGGAAGAAGAGGATTGTGTTGCGAGAGAGACACCGAAACACATGAGATGTCTGTCCGTATATTTGAAGGCAAAGCTCACGCAGACATTTACGCCCGATTCAGACCAGCGGTTCCCGAAGAAGTGGTGCACAAAGTGGTCCACTATTTGGCTGATAAACTGCCCCCAGATGTCGAAGAAGATAATACGAATCGCTGGACGACAGGTGTGGACGTCGGGTGCGGTAGCGGTCAGGGAACCAATGCTATGGCCAAACACTTTGCCAACTGTTATGGCTTTGACGTGAGTCCCGCGCAGATCGAGGCCGCCATCCGCTCAACACATCCCTCTAATGTCTGCTATCAGGTCCGTCACAGACACTACTCGTCCGCTCGACCCATGCGTTGGCTTTTTGTTATGTATTTTGATTTTAATAGCAATTGTTTTTGCCTTTTCTTAAGGTATGTCCGGCAGAGAGTATGCCATCGATTGAGACAAATAGTGTCCAAATGGTCACTGCCTTCGAGTGCTTCCAGTATTTCGATTACAAGAAATTTATGGAAGAGTGCACTCGAGTGCTGGTCGACAACGGAGTGGTGGCAGTCATCGGGTATTTCATACCCGACCCGTCCGACCCTTTAGAGCCCAATCGCGACCCAAGTCTCGTGGATCTGATGCAAGAGTGCTATAATAGCGACCGATTGGCCGCTTATAAGTCACCGAATGTGGCGTCTGTTGAGAAGCACTACAAGAACGTGACGTTTCCCACAAATTATGAGTCCAAACACGTCGACCATATCATCGCTTCCGTCCCAGTGTTGGCCGAAGATATGGTGGGACTCATAGAGTCGTGGTCTTCATTCCAGAAATTGGTCAAAGCGGACAAAGAGTCCGCACAACTCTTCCGGCGAGAGATCAGAGAGAAATTGTCGGCGATTTTAAAGACCAACGACTTGTCCGCTAAAGAGATAGTCTTTAATTACACGTATTTCATAGCAATGGCCCGAAAACTCAATAATAATTTAGTATTTGATTAAATAAACGAATCGTTTGTTCACTTTATATGATTTATTTTGTATTCAATAAACTTTTTATTTTATTGTTTTAAGTATTGGAACTATAAGTTCACTGATTTGTATTTTGTGATAAGTAATTACATTTGTTTATAAGTTCTGTAATTTGTTAATAAAGTTATAATTATAAGTTTTAATGTATAGTCAGACCGAGTGTTTGCCATTCATTATACAATTCATGCCAAGTTATCTCAAGTATTGGTGATGTGATTGAATTGAATTACCATTTGTTGATTGTGTAACCATTTATTCCGAGACAACAATATTGTATTAAATTAATTGAATTTAGACTAACGTTATATTCATTGTTATAATTGAATATAAAATTCAATATTAGTTAGCATTTTCCAACAGTTATCACAATTGTTACATCACTTCTACTGTTAATGAAAATGATTGCAACTCTTGTAATCATAGTGTCTTTGAATGCCATTCAATGCCAACTACTGCCAAATTATTGTCATTTATTTGAAACGAATGGCAAATACCATGGTGTTAAAGTCTACAACTCGTACGAACAAGGAGCATGGGTCGTTTATAAGGATGGGTATGAATGGAAGGTTCAAATGAATAACGTTAATGTTTCCATAATAGCTAATGGAAATAAAAATATTAGTAAAGATATAATCAATAGATTTAGTGGATATGATTACGAATGTGATGTCAGATATCAGGTTATTATACATTGAATTGCATTCTAAATATTAATATTGAATTGAATGAAAGGCCGGTACTAAACAGATTGTGACCAAATGTACGAATACATCAGAAGACACAGTCTCTCAATACGACCCGAACGCTATCGTATTCATAGCATCAAAACAAAGATCTAATAAATGGCTTATAATTTACAGCAAAGATGGGCCGAAGATATGGTGTTATTCGGCAAAAGAAACACTTTTAAAAGATAGACTTATAAACGACACCAACAAATGTAAGGCATTGGTCGGAAGGAATCCACTATTTCTTGAAACCATGAATCCATCTCTTGTACGGAGTATTGAAAGTATTGTCGAAACGACATCCTTTTGGTCACTCATTGGACATTACGTATTCTTCAACAGAAGCGGACAATTCATGTTTTGTGAATATATGTTGGACAGAAATGATACTGGAGTACTTTTATTATGACTTAATTTTTAAATGTTTAATATTTTATTTTATTTTTAGTGCAAATCGGATGCAGATCTCAAACCTGTTTTATCCCAATGTTTCCCTAAGAGTAAGATACCCAAAAGCAACCAGAATTGGTTTATAATTGCTATTATTTTTGGTGTTATTATTATCTGTATTATTATATTTGTTATTTGGGATAATCTACAAAAAAGTAATTGATAAAACATTTGATAATTACTAAAATAATTCTTAAAATATAAAAATACAAAATAAAATTACCATTTATTTGATAGAGAATGACACAAGAATTGTGACAAATGAAGAGACCATTAAAAAGATGAGTACGTGTTGTGTTAGTTTCGTAAATATATAGAATAACTAATAATACATTAATTTATAGCCCAAGAAATCGAGTCTTTGAAACAATCTTTGAAAGAAAGTCAGTCTTCAAAACAATCGAATCCTTCACTAAAGACCAAGAAATCTAAAGCGAGTGATAAGTCGAGTGTTAAGACACTCACCGATAAAACCAATAAAGGAATCACTGCTCAGAAACCAAAGCCTAAAAGTCCCACAAAAGGTGTGTTTTGTGTTTGATATAAATATTACAAACAATTAATTGTTTTGTATTTATATAAAGACCGAAAGATCCTGTTTTATCCCAATGTTTCCCTAAGAGTAAGATACCCAAAAGCAACCAGAATTGGTTTATAATTGCTATTATTTTTGGTGTTATTATTATCTGTATTATTATATTTGTTATTTGGGATAATCTACGAAAAAGTAATTGATAATTCATTTGATAATTATTAAAATAATTCTTAAAATATTAAAAATACAGAATGAAATTATCATTTATTTGATAGAGAATGACACAAGAATTGTGACAAATGAAGAGACCATTAAAAAGATGAGTACGTGTTGTGTTAATCTCGTAAATATATAGAATAACTAATAATGCATTAATTTATAGCCAAAGAAATCGAGTCTTTGAAACAATCATTGAGAGAAAGTCAGTCTTCGAAACAATCGAAAGGCTCACTAAAGACCAAGAAATCGAAAGCGAGTGATAAGTCGAGTGTTAAGACACTCACAGATAAAACCAATAAAGGAATCACTGCTCAGAAACCAAAGCCTAAAAGTCCCACAAAAGGTGTGTTTTGTGTTTGATATAAATATTACAAACAATTAATTGTTTTGTATTTATATAAAGACCGAAAGACTGTGAGTCCGGACAAGACTTTGCCTAAGACTGTGAGTCCGGACAAGACTTTGCCTAAGACTGTGAGTCCGGACAAGACTTCGCCTAAGACTGTGAGTCCGGATAAGACTTCGCCTAAGACTCGGTCCCCGAAAGTCAAGCATTAGAAGAGAATTTATATTTCAAAATTGAATCTATAATGTAATTCATATTATTATAATTTCAATAGTGTTTATATTTCGCAAAATGTGTAAATTTTATCTTTAATTACATTTCCATTTCATTTTTGTTAGCTTTTTATGCAGTATTTTAAATGTTGTAAAATATAAATTTTTAAAATTAACGTCTAATCCATTCACAAATGTTTGTTACATTCGTTGAAAATAATAATCACATGAAAACACACGAATCCATTGATAGCGAGACAACAATATTATATTAAATCAATAAATAGTTAAATTAAATCTTACGATATTTCTTCGATTAGTATTCATTGTTATAATTGACTACAAATTTCAAAAATCTTTACATTTTTAAACTATTATCACAATCTTTACATCAGTTCTACTTTATTTGAAAAATATGATTGTATTTCTTATATTCTTTATGTCTTTCACTGCCATTCAATGCGAACAATTGGAACCGTATTGCAAATTAATTCAAATTAATGGTAAATACGATGGCATTCATGTCTATTCCTCGAGTGAAAGAAAGGGAGATTACATTTACAAGAACAACAGTGAATTGAAAGTTACAATCGATCCGAGATCTATACAAATCCCTTCTAATGTCTTACAACCAATGGATCCGAATGTAATCAATAGATTTGGTGGCAATGGCTTCGACTGTGAAGTCAGATATCAGGTTATTATACATTGAATTATATTCTAAATATTTATATTCAATTCAATTGATTTGAAAGTCGGGAAATAGTGGTCCGATTGTCACCAATTGTTCCAATGGTGTAAATGACACCAAATCTCAATTCGACGCCAAAGCCATCATATTTAGGGCATCCGCTCTACGAGAGAATGATTGGCTCATCGTTTTGAGCAAAAATGGTCCGAATATATCGTGTTATTCACCGAAATTGGGACCAAATTCTGTACTCGAATACGATTTGGAGAAATGCAAAGAACACGTGAAAAGAGATCCACTATTTCTTCAAACGATGAATCCGTCGGTTGTGAAGACAATCGATGGGATCGTTGACTATGGAACCGATACTGAACTCCGGGGACATTACGTATTCTTCAGTCGACCCAATGGTCCCGTCTATTGCCTACAATTCATTGGAGAACCAGATATTGACGTACTTTTGTTAACAACTTTTGAAACAATATTTTGTAATTTTATGTTATTTTTAGTGCAAATTGGAGAAGAATTTCATACATGTTTTACCCGATTGTTTCCCACCGCCCACAACAGAGCCGTCCACTGATTCGGGTTTTTGGGCTACTTTCTGGAGTGTGATTGCAATCGTTAGCATTATTATTGTAATCATGATTGTAATCATTTCCGTCCTGTATTGGAAGGGCTTTTTACCAGAAGGTAAGTGACAAAACATTTGATAATTTCTATAATAATTAACTAAATATTAACACATTTTGTATGCCATAAACGCTTGTAATACACAGTGATTAGCAAACCCATTGAGATTAGACTTTTAAACTATCAAATTAACAAATTGAAAGCAGAGATGAAAGACGTTTGTAAGTGTTTTTTAATCCATTGTTTTCAATACATGTTTTGGGAACTAATATATTATGCATTCATTCATTGATTTACAGCCAAAAATGTGGCCGAATGTCAGGCGATTAACGAGAAGAAAAGGAATGACTTTCCAAACCTAACGGATGATGAATTTGAGAAACATATGGCCGCCAATCGTATGTGATTTGCATGTTTTGGTGACAAATATATCTCATAATTAATACCACATTCATTTGATTAACAGAAACAGCTTTGAATACATTTGAAGGGCGAGAACAGGCTCTCAAAATGGAGATATCGGGAAAGCATGTGAGACGCGGACTGTTGGAGGGCAAGGAATTGACGGTCGGCCGGGGAATGGGGGCCGGTGAACATATGGTGGCACATATGAAAAATTTTGAACAAACTGGTGAAGTGCGCCCTCCAAGCGGTGCAGTGCCCCCTCAACCCCCAGGTGGCAAACAACCCCCTCAACCCCCAAGTGGTGGGGCAGTCGGTGGTGCGCAACCGGGCGATGAAATTCCCAAAACAGGTATGTTTAGTGTTTGACATCAATATTATAAACAATAATTATATTTTTTGTCTGTTTTAAACGTAATAATTGACAAAACATTTGATAATTTCTATAATAATTAACTAAATATTAACAAATTTTCTATGAATACGTGATTATTATAATAGATGAAGAAATAGAAGTGGAAAGAGAATTTCTGGCCATCAGCACAAAGATTACGGCCGATTGTATGTATAGTTTGATTGTATTTCATACATGTTTTGCCAACGAATACATCACTTATTATTGATTTCTATTTAGTGGCAGAGTTTAAAGACAAGAATGCGAAACTAAAACGGGAGCGATCGGCCGAAGTACCAGATGAGGCGCTCATCGCTCGACTCCGTATATATTGCAATGTTTTGGTGACAAATATATCTCATAATTAATGCCACATTTCATTTGCTGAGCAGAAGCCCGAATCGATAAATTACATGACAGACAACAAAGTCAGTTCGCTTATCGCAATGAGAAAGAGGCCGAATTGAATCGACTGGCAGAGGCGAGGATTGGTAATGTTTTTGGGGCTTAAGTGTCCACAAGTGTTGCAAATAATTAATTGTTTTGTTTATTATATGTAAAGCCGCCGCTCGGACTGTGAGTGCGGACGTTCATCCGGCGCCGCCTTCTTCTTAAACCGCGACTAAAACTTTGGCCACAAATCTGTGACAAGAAATTCATGCTTTTGTTGATTATTTATTTTTATTTCCGTTTGTCTAAAATTTTTGTCAAATTTTTATGAAATATTTTATGTTATCTTTTATTGTTTTATATCATTAGTATTTGTTTATATTTTAATCAATCCACACATATTTTATACTAGGATTTAAATAAAAAATGTATTTTCACTCAATTCGTTGTCTTCAGAATATATGATAACTTTTATGCCATAAGAAGTGTCTCTTCTATGAGAGAATGGTTTGTATAATGAGTTCAATCACTCAAAACAAGAATCCATACGATTAATAGATTTCTCGCAATTGTATTAAATCTAATGTAATTGTCTCAATTTGTTGCACAAAATTGTTATTAATTTAATTAATTTCAATAATTTTAAGACATTTATACATAAAAATTGAGCGTTAAATCCATTGTCTGTCGAAATCAATTGTGTGCGCGAATGGGTTTCTAACAGGAATTCAAGTAAATAACAAAATTATAATAACAAATAAATATTGTGCAACATTTCATATCCTCATCTCATTTGAGATGATATACACAATGAGGACAACAATTGTTACATTGAAACAGTCATTAAGATGCCAGAAACGATTAAAGTGTTCACATCAGAATAGCCCTGGTACCATTTTGTAGGGCACGAGTTTGCAGTACTCGTCCCATTGGGTGCCATACTTTAGCCAACACTTGTGTTGGTCTCGAGATGTGCGGTGAATGATAAGGACGGACACGAATGCGAACCGAAAGTAGGGAATCGGACTCGAGATGAGTGCCGGACAACACATGACCGCCGCAAACAACAACTCAAACGTGTAGTTCATATGCCGGGCGACGGCCCAAAAGCCCGACATCAGAATAACTGTGCGTTTAGTGATACCGTAATTGTCAGTATAAGTTGCCCTTTAGTATTGCAAACATATTATGATTACTTAATGAAATCTAATACAACTATAACTATTAAATACCGGATAACTTTGACCGGTTTGCCCCATATATCGCACTTTCCATTGGTCTGTCGGGTTAACAGCTTCTGGCGATCGACACAATACGTGAGATAAGCGAAAAGCGATCCCAGAGTTAGCACTATTAGGGCCGACACGAGCCCGAAGTGATCCATTGGCGAGTGTTTTACCAAATATAACGAGTTTAATGAGTAGAATCCGGGAACAAATGCAATGCAACCCCAGGCCAAGTAGTAACCGAACCGGTCGTGCGAGGCATCCATTGACTGCCAAACGATAACATTTTAATTGATATATAATTTGTGAGAAACAAAATGATATAATGAACAGACGTGTAAATACGAGTCCTCCGAGTAGTAAAATTTGGCCAAATATATGCTGACCAATAGTGTAGTGGTAGTGAGCGGCCAATTAATGTGTCCCCGATTATAGCTGGCGATATAGAGCTCGTAGTTGGCCTTCCAGGCGGTCAGTGCTATCAATTGCCACAGAAATAGACCGAATCGGCTGTTGATTAAGATCTTAAGGCTGACGAATGGCCCCAAATGCGGGTACAGCTCAACCCCCCAGTAGTAGTCAAACACTATATTCTTCGTTATGTCACAAATGCCCGGATCAGGGAATACAAGACCTGTTGTATTGATTAAATAAGTATTACATTACTTTTTATGTCATTTACATTTTAGTCTCCTTGTTTAATAGATTGGATATGCAATCAAATACTATTTATGCGTGAGTTTTATTTAAAATTATGCGAACCTTTGATGTACAGCACAACACAGAATCCAAAGCCAAACACAATGAGAATAGCGATGAGATTTGGGATTTTGTAATACAAATGCAGTATTGAATACTTCCAAATGAGTGGACACGCGATCAGCATTGATATCACATAGTATTTAAAGCCAGAGTTCCAGTACTGACATTATATTAATTATATATTTTAATGATTATAGTGATTATAATTTAAGAAATTTGTATATTATTGATATTACAGTTATAATTCTATTATTAGATTATAATTGCCTCTAAAATATACCTCAGGTCTGAATCCATTAGGTGTGGGCGGGCCGTGATATTTACGGCCTGGAAAGTGCAATGATATGATTCCCCATAGTATAAGACCGCTCACTATTGACCAACACTCCAAGTCATCCCTGGAATACAGTATAAGATGTATTATAACTTTATTTAATAATTATATAATGATAGCAGTGAAATCATTATATTTTATAAATTATAACATAGACATGATTTTTAATAAATATTTTAAAAAATAAATTATTCGAAATTTCATACCATTTGACTGCTTTCCAGGCGTCGGTAAGAGTTGCTTCAATTGAGTCGACAAACAAAACACGAGTTAAGTTACTATTCTTAACGACTATAATGTGGGCCAACAATAGTATCAAATTGGGTGTCAGAATCATAATCAATAGGGGAAACAATGTCTCCCGTATTAATCCCCTGTAAAGCCGTGCGCAGAGCGACACCTTTTCGGGAAAGTCGGGCTTCCCTTTCATATTGACTTCAATTTATTTGTCGTTAAATATAAACTAAATTAATATAAAATTAATAATTTTATGATAACTTAATAAGAGAGAAAATATTTTTAAAATTCAACTCTTTTACACACAGTATTTCCGATTTGCAACTAAAATATAAATCGTGGTTAATATTAATTAAAATTACTCTATGTTAATATTTTAGTAAATTGAACGTGATGTATATAATTAATAAAGTAAGTGTTTTTATTGTCACTTAATAATGTATGTTAATAATAAAAACAGAATGTTTTGTCGTCGACAGTGTATTCAACAGAAACTGTTGCCATAGTCTCAGTCTTTCTGCTGATGGAAATACAGAAATTATAATACAGTATAATATTTAATACACTAATCGATGTGTCCGTTACTCGAGTAACACAATTGCATTAAATATTGTATAAATCCATATTAAAAATGTCAGTTATTTATCGCCTTATATTGTATGTGATATTAAGTTAAGAGAGAGAGAGAGAGTGAGTGAGTGTGTGTGTGTGTGTGTGTGTGTGTGTGAGAGAGAGAGAGAGAGAACTATATATTTAAAATTATATGATGTATGTATGGATAATTATTATTAATGATTTATTTAGAAATCTCTGCTTTTATTTAAATATCTTTACTATCATTAATAATAATTATCCATGGATACATCATATAATTTTAAATATATAGTTCTCTCTCTCCTCTCTCACTCACTCACTCACTCTCTCTCTTAACTTAATATCACATACAATATAAGGCGATAAATAACTGACATTTTTAATATGGATTTATACAATATTCAATGCAATTGTGTTACTCGAGTAACGGACACATCGATTAGTGTATTAAATATTATACTGTATTATAATTTCTGTATTTCCATCGGCAGAAAGACTGAGACTATGGCAACAGTTTCTGTTGAATACACTGTCGACAAAACATTCTGTTTTCATTATTAACATACATTATTAAGTGACAATAAAAACACTTACTTTATTAATTATATACATCACGTTCAATTTACTAAAATATTAACATAGAGTAATTTTAATTAATATTAATTAAAATCTTTATTTTAGTTGCAAATCACAAATACTGTGTGTAAAAAGAGTTGAATTTTTAAAATATTTTCTTTTACATTAAGTTATCATAAAATTAATAATTTTATATTAATTTAGTTTATATTTAACGACAACTAAATTGAAGTCAATATGAAAGGGAAGCCCGACTTTCCCGAAAAGGTGTCGCTCTGCGCACGGCTTTACAGGGGATTAATACGGGAGACATTGTTTCCCCTATTGATTATGGTTCTGACACCTAATTTGATACTATTGTTGGCCCACATTATAGTCGTTAAGAATAGTAACTTAACTCGTGTTTTGTTTGTCGACACAATTGAGTCAACGCTTACCGACGCCTGGAAAGCAGTCAAATGGTATGAAATTACGAATAATTTATTTTTAAAATTATTTATTAAAAATCATATCCATGTTATAATCCCTTCCCCTTGTATTTACTCAAACAGACCAAAAAGTGCACACAAATACAACAGTAAAATACAATAGGGAGGTGGGAGGGGTTTGACAACTATAAACAATAGAGGGGATAAAAGAAGAGAAATGTGTAACGAGCTTTGTCCTCGTTTTTAATTAATTAAACCAAGAAACTTGTAACATAAATACTCTAATATATGCGCTATTTATAAGGTTCATTTTCACAAAACATGCTAACATTTATATTAGTTATACAATTATCACGTTGAGTGATTTAATTGTGCGTTTCTTACATAATTCTCTATATTTAATTGTACTTTAAAAATGTGTTTGATGCAATCAATAATTTCCTATTTATAGTGATAATATAATGATTTCACTGCTATCATGTTAATACATTTATAATGATTAAATAAAGTTACAATACATGTTATACTTTATTACAGGGATGACTTAGAGTGCTGGTCAATAGTGAGCGGACTTATACTATGGGGAATCATATCATTGCACTTTCCCGGCCGTAAATATCACGGCCCGCCTACACCTAATGGATTCAGACCTGAGGTATATCTTACAGGCGATTATAATCTTATAATGAAATTATAACTATAAAAATATACAAATTTCTTAAATTATAATCACTATAATTGTAAAAAAAATATGTAATTAATATCATGTCAGTACTGGAACTCTGGCTTTAAATACTATTTGATATCAATGCTGATCGCGTGTCCACTTATTTGGAAGTATTCAATACTGCATTTGTATTACAAAATCCCAAATCTCATCGCTATTCTCATTGTGTTTGGCTTTGGATTCTGTGTTATTCTGTACATCAAAGGTAGGGATAATTTTTAATAAAACTCACGGATAAGTAGTATTTGATTGCATATCCAATATATTAAACAATGAGACTAAAATGTAAATGACATAAAAAGTAATGTAATGCTTATTTAATCAATACAACAGGTCTTGTATTCCCTGATCCGGGCATTTGTGACATAACGAAGAATATAGTGTTTGACTACTACTGGGGCGTTGAGCTGTACCCGCATTTGGGGCCATTCGTCAGCCTTAAGATCTTAATCAACAGCCGATTCGGTCTATTTCTGTGGCAATTGATAGCACTGACCGCTTGGAAGGCCAACTACGAGCTCTATATCGCCAGCTATAATCGGGGACACATTAATTGGCCGCTCACTACCACTACGCTATTGGTCAGCATATATTTGGCCAAATTTTACTACTCGGAGGACTCGTATCTACACGTCTGTTCATTATATCATTTTGTTTCTCACAAACTATATATCAATTAAAATGTTATTGTTTGGCAGTCAATGGATGCCTCGCACGACCGGTTTGGTTACTACTTGGCCTGGGGTTGCATTGCATTTGTTCCCGGATTCTACTCATTAAACTCGTTATATTTGGTAAAACACTCGCCAATGGATCACTTCGGGCTCGTGTCGGCCCTAATAGTGCTAACTC